TTTATAAAAATGACTCTATTGAACTTCGATACTCAGATTATGAAGATTCATTTCAATTTCTTTCACATTTCCGTCGATTTCAAGTTTAAAAAGGTCAAGCAACTAGTTTGGTTCAAAAACCATACTTCGTCGCATTATCAGGCAGAGCCTCCCCAACTTCATTTCTATCTTCCCATCACACCGCGCGCGCTCACTTTTATTCAGGAAACTTCATGTAAGTTATTTGTAAATACTTAAGGAGGCTCTGCGGAGGAGAGAGGTCTAGGACGTAGGCAAGTCTCACATCATGTACTTTCCCCTCACTGTCAGTAAGCCTATCATTATACAGGGTATGTCATAATATAACTTTCGCCCGTGACTGATTTTAGGGATTGATACACAGGTAAAGTCTAAATAAGCGACCATGTGAACTTCATGTTGCATCGCCCAGTACAGTTCCGCACGCATTGCGCACTCATTTGCCAAACCTTATATGATCTTGGCTGCGCACAAACACGTTTTTAAAGAAAATTTGCAAACTTTATTGTTAGCAATTGTTACATTAGTGAAGTTTAAGCCCTTGTTCTTTTTGCACTATCCATTTATTTTCTTTCTTTTTTCTCAACAACTACAGGTAGAGACCCAACCATGTACTACCCTATGAAACAACCATATGGCTTTGCACTCATCATTAACATCAAAAGTTTCGACGGTAGAACTGACAAAGATGTTGAATTAGATGAACGAACTGGTTCTGATGTTGACGTAAAGAAATTGCAAGACTTGTGGGATCAACTGGGCTTCGAAGTACGAACGCACGTAGATTTGAAAGCTCATGAAATTTACGGCGTGGTTCGCAAAATGGCAAATGCCGATGCACTTCAAAATTCAAGCTGCTTTGTGTGCTGTATTATGACTCATGGTGATATGGGCGTGGTTTACGGTTCGGATTCCAAGTCTCTTGACATTAAGGATATCATAGATTTATTTAAACAAGACAATTGTTCAGCTTTAACTGAGAAGCCTAAGCTTTTTTTTATCCAAGCTTGTAGGGGATGTCAGGGTAGCCCTCCCGGTATGCCAGAGATCAAGCCAACACCAGAGTTGGATGCCAGTGCTTTGTCCGAAGCAGATGGTGATGTTGATTGTGACCACATAAACGATTCAACATTTAGTCGTAGTGCTGATCCAAGTGAAGCTCATTTTTTAATTGGATATTCAACAGTACCAGGTAATCAAAGATGTATATTCTCCTGTCTCTTGTTATGGGCGCCGCAAGCGCATGCGAGAATTTCACTTATTTCACTCGCGGAGGATAGTGTGGAAAACCTAGTTCCTTATTTTCGTGGATGCGTAGTTTATTCAAAGAAACATCCGAAAATCATATTACAAATTGGAAGGAGTTAGGAGTTTAATGCCACTAATTAAATAAAAAAAAATTCAAAATTTGCGTCAACATATTAATCTTTTAGGCAAAAATGTTTAACCAGTATACATCATCTACAACTTTTCCGTTCTGTGGTGCCTTTCCTGAAAGAACTGTTTCTAGCGTCTTGTTTGTGCTTGCCCCAGCATCCCTACCTCTTACATTGAGGTGTAAAATGTAATTGTTTTATTCTGACTGCCCTGGAGTGGTATAATGGTATTCATGAACAACAACCTTGCTAAACATAACGATTAAACTAGCCAAATCAGTGACTCGAAGTGTTTTCATTCTTTTTAAGGTAATTCTAGTACAAAGTACAGAAGCTCATTAGCATAACTACTTTTAATGGTTAAACTGCCAGTTACGCAGGCTTACCTATACCGTACAGGTTATAAAGTTGTTGTCTCGGAGAATGGATTTTAAGGTCATTTTTCATATTTTACGATCATGCACCGGATCCAGCGTAGATTATGTTCGAACACGCAGACGTGGTGTGTCTCTGAGCTAACTGATCAAGATCCAATCCATGGCACCTTATATCCCTATTTTATTCTTTAGACCATGCGAGTTTCCGGAATGTGAAAATTGGGACGTGGTACATCGATGCGTTGGTTGAAATATTCAGTCATTACCACAAAGATGAAGGTATATGGAAGATGATACGCAGAATAAATAATAAGGTTTCCAAAAGATATGTAGACATTGGTTGTAAACAGTGTCCCGCACCTGTTTTTACCCTTACTAAAGACATTTTCTTTTAACCAATTGCTTAACTTTATACGTGTTTCAGTTGATTGCTGGAATATGAGGACGGTATTCTCGCGCCTGAAAGATTTTAATTATATGCATGAAAAATTTACTCGATTTCGATCGGCTAAGAAGAGCGCAATTTTATCAAAATACGGTCGTGCCAAAAAAAGAAATACAGTGTCAGTGCCAAAAAATGAAATACGTGGCAAACGTCAAAACAAAAGAAATTTTGAAAGAGTTTTGACTTCTGACAGTAAAGAAATGCATAGTTTCTTGTGCCATTCATTTCGCATGTGTTTCATAAGGTGCAAGCTAGTGACGATGAATTTGCTTCGGCATATTTTTTTCATATAAATTATTAATAAGTAATTGTATGGTTTTTCGTCCAATCTAGAAAAAACACTCGTGAATTTTTAAAACACTTCGACTTGCACTCATCCTTCGGACCAATTTTAATCGTCTTTAAAAAACTCACTCGTGCTTTTTCCCTCCAAATTGCACTCGAAACCATACTGTCACCAAAATGGTCATTGAACCCAATTGCTTTGCCCCTAATAAACACTGAATGAAGCTGAAGTATATAATTTATAATGTAATGTGATCACATCGCGATAAGTTTCTCACTAAAGACCTAATTCCACGACGAGCAAAATACGAAAAATTTCGCGCGAAAAGGTTGAACGAATGCGCAACATGATTTTGGAGTGTTTCTCTCCGAAATATTTCTCTTCGCCGGGTAGTTGAATTCGTTTCTACT